TAATGAGAAAAAAAATGCTCTTAATTAGAAGCAAGCTGCTGCAAGCATAGAATACAAAGATCTGTTATCTTTATGAGGAGGTAATAAATGTATGAGAGTTTGGGATGAAATTGAAGTATATGACTTTGAAAACTGCTCTATTTTTTACTTAATGAAATACATTTCATGTAGGAGCTCTGACATTCTTCATTGTCCTGCACCTGCAGTGGAACTTTAAATTATGTCTGAATCTCAAGGACAAGGGGTAAAGGACACAAATTCTCTCATCCATTTGCTTTCATTCAAACATGAATTTGAACAAGAGCAAGTAAAGCCAAACATCCACATGAATAACTGTTTTGCTGGCAACTTTTTTAATAAGGCATCAAATCATTACTTTTGATATCATTACCTCAAATATTCAATTTGACTGCTACTGATTCTAATCTTCATAGAATTGGCATGGTAACCACCAAATGCAAGCATCCATTGCCAGTGCCAAACATGCAGTGACATTTCAAGTTGAGAATTTAGTGACTGGGAAGGTAAAGGGGTTTGTTTGCCTTCCACTTAAAGTTTTGATGGTACTGAAGGAATCTCTCCTGGTTTTTCAGCCTAGCAATTGAATTTTTAGGGCAGATATTATGTGTGTTTTCTTGAATTGCCCCCACTCTGCTATATTGAAAAATATTTTGTGATTGATGTCACTATTATGAAATGCAAAAGCAAATAGGAAAGCAAAAATGGAGAACAGGAAGTGCCTAGGTAAGACTCAGCAGCAATTGATGGAGAAATCAGGCAGAGTGCGTAAATAAAAACTCAAATGGAAATTGAGAGACATTGTCTAGATACACATTTGTTTGTTTCTGGATTATGTTTCCAAGACTAGTGAAAGACTATAAAGGTAGTTCAGTAGGAAGAAATCACATTGGTGTCATATTTGGAAAGAAAATCTGACATTTGCTGGGAGTCAGAACTTCTATTTTAAAAATGTTTGTTTGGTAAACTTGCTAAATCTGATTCATTTGTGGTAAATTTGTTCATTTGTGCATTTCTTTTCTGTGTACGCTCAGGAATGTAAATTTTCCAAATTTCAGTGTAGCAGTTGTGCCTTGAAATTGGTTTTTACTATAAAGTGAGTTAAATCAGTAAATAGCTATCTATTGCTTGAGGAGCAAATCTGGGGGAGTTTCTTTTGGGTTGCTTGTTGGTTTGTTTGTTTTATGAATCGTAGAGATCTTACAGTTTTAATTTAGGATTTCCATTTGCTTGTGTTCATCCATTCTGAGCATTTGAAGTCACAGTGGTAAAAGTAAGCATTCTTTAGCATTATGTTTAAAGAGAGATTGGGGAGAGATTGTTTAAGGAGAGACTGGGCCTATACATTTTGCATAATGCCAATAGCAGCCCTGTACAGTCTGAGAATATGTTAAACTTTATGTTTAAAAAGATGTTGCTGTGCTGCACTGCCTTATTCATACACCTCAATTACAGAGCTACAAGCCACTGTCTGAGTCAGGTCTGATTTGCCATGCTGGGGATCTGATTTGGCAGAATTGTTTAAGTGCTTTGACGTTAACTCCTTTTTGTGGTAATCAAATGCATGTCTTAAATGAATAGTTTCCTGATTTCCCACTTTTCAGAGAATACAGAGCCTTGATCAGCTGCAGAAATATAAAGAGGATAAAAAATGAGTAATTCAAGATTCAAGTGGCAGGACATTTATAGAAACATTGAGTTTAAATAGCCTCCTTAGAAAGCAGTACAAAAATGGAAGGTGATGAGTTTAAAAGTTTGTTCTTAACTTTAAAATATCTTGGGCATCCTTGAAAAATTCACTCTAAGTCAACTTTGAAGAAGATTTAGTAGCCTACTGACTATCTAGGAAACCAAGGTGCTCTCTTCAAGAGATGGCAGCAAAAATCTGGTCTGCGACTCTCATACCTTCTGCTGGGAGCCCAGGAAGGCAGACTTCCATAACCCATGGAAATCACGGTCCTTCAAGGACATTTGTGTATCTGACCTCGATTCTGAATGAATAACTATGAGCCTCAAGAGCCTTCAAAAGATGGGGCCCTGGTTATTCAGGAAAACACCTGAAATATTTGGTAACTTTGAACATCTGATGTTCATGCAAGAGGATACAATGAAGAAACAATGGAAAACAGATGGAAATACATGCTTCTATTCCATGTAATTAGTGAAATAATGTTCAAAAGTATAGAAAAATATTTAGCTTTTCAAATTTTATCATGTGTGTTATCATTAGTCATATGTCATTAAGAATGCACATATCAGTAGGGGATCTTGAGGCCCAATGGGCTAAGAGCACAGAATTGCAGAGTATCTGTACTTTGCGTGGCCCCAAAGGCTCTCATTGAAATTCTTCCTCAGTTTTTTATTCCCATTCCAGCCCAACAGACTTCCCTCTAAGAATGAGTGTGCAGTAACTCAGTGCTCACACTCTTCCCAGCGCACTACCCTACCTTCAGCATCTCTTGATGGGAACATCAGATATACTCATCCATCCATTGATTCCTCCCTCTGGCACCAATCGATTCAGAATACATCAGAAAAAGAAAAAAATGAATTAAAAATCTAGGCTGAGCTGTATCCCTTTCATACCCCATTAAAGGTTTCTCTTGAGTTAGGATTCAAGATTTGATATTTACCTTCTGCTTTATCCTGCACTTCTGTCCAAAATTCCTTTATCAGTGTGCAGTGCAGATAGATTTCATGCTTATAATGGGTAATGTAATTTATATTCTTCTGTTGCAGACACGGATTCAGAAGATATTAGCTGAACTCTGAGTTACAAAGGCTTGTGAACATGTTTGTCTTTTCTCTGTGTGTAAAATGATAACCTGCTTTAAAGAAATATTATGACTGAACGCTAGCTGATGAGAGAAGTTACAATCATTTTGTGATTGCCCTGTGGTGTTCCTCTCCAGGAATTAGGGCTCCATCCTGCTTCACGTGAGGAGTGCAAAGTAATGGTCTCTTGCTACAGAACTCATTTGCAGGATTTATAAGAAAAAAATACTTTTTATCTTGTTCTCTGTGAAATTTCATCTGGAGGCCTTTGGGGGCTATATGTAAAAGGAAAAGCAGAAATTAAGGACAGCAAGTTTATTACCAGTAATCGTAAACATATTATGTAAAATAATTGCAAATGAATTGTGAAGTAATGACAGTGTTCAGTGCAATTAGAAAAGGTTTCAGCACAAATCAAAGAAGTTAAAAAAAAAATATTCAAATAATGGTCAGCAAAGAAATAATCAGGAATGACAAAGTTGGGAGAAACCTGTGTGAGCATTACCAAGATGCACAGTGAACTGGTGGTCAGGCTAAGTAAAACTGGACATTAATGGTTTATTTGCATCAAGGAGAAAGTCTAGTTCAATGAACATCTCAAAATGGGAAAAACATAATTCTAGATTGGAATCGTACCATTGCAGTGAACAGTAATTACACATGCAGAGAAGCCAGATGCAAAATTTGGATTTTTTTAACATGACAGAATGAGTTACGAGGCACCGTGAAGTTATTTTTTCCTGTCTACTGAATTCATTTGCTTTTGCCTCTGTACAAGTTTGAAAGCCATATCAGTTTCCTTTCCAGAATATTTTTCCTCCTCATCATCCGTGCTCATTGGCTTGTGATTGTCAGGTTGTTCAGGAGCTTGTACTTCTAAAATTTAACAAAAAATGTATCAGTGATTTCAAGAGTCCATAGGCAGTGTTTCAGAGGATGCACTTTCAAGCCTTTCCTATTACAGTATGGAGCAGAGGGGCTGAACTAGGTAATGAATGATCCATGGAAAACATTGTGACCAGGCAGCCATGAAGCTGGAGAAGTTTATTTTTTTTCTTCTTCATTCCACAACGTGACTTCATATTCTTCTTCCATGCTATATTTTATGTATGCTGAGCAAGTGAAACATAAAACCAGTGCCAGGAATTGCATAACCCCTTAGGATTCCTTACCTACCCTGTAATATAGAAATGGTGGACATATAGCTTATAGGAAAGTTGGTGTTATGTCATGGTTTAGTGTTGTCATGATTATTTCATATACATATATTTAATGGCAATTGTAAATATGTCTGGGAACTCACAGCCACAAGTTTTAACCAGTGTAGATTTCTCCATTCAAACACCTCATATTGAGTCTGAGACATTAATTTCTCCCCATGCTCACTATTCATGACCTCACCCAAGGCCGTGGAAAGAGTGCCTTATTTGTGGATCTGGAGATACCACTTTTTGTTAATTTTGCCCTTGTTAATTAAAGCAAGTAAAAATGTTCATTAGACATTTGCTTTAAGAGCTCAAAGACAACTATAGGGATCCTGGACCTTTGAATTTCTTCAGGAATTAGGGATAGTTCTTACACTCCTCTCTAGCAAGAAAGAAGTATATTTTATGGAATTTTTTCTTCTTGAAGCTCTTGTAACCTTGGAAATGATAGAAATGTCTGCCTTTTTTCTCCTTGTTTATTTTGCAAATCTCAGAGCTGTAACATCTGTGACGCAGCTGCCTCTGGCTATAACAGGTTTCTCGTCTGTCATGTACAGCTGCAAGATATCACAAAAGCACGACTTCTTTTTGTACCTAGAAATTGAGAGGTTGTATTCAGAGCAGCCTGGTGAAAAACCTGCCTTATCTCCAGCAGTATTGCACAAGTGCAAGGCTGGGTCAAGCTGTGCAGGCAGCAGAAGCCCTGCTTCCCCCTGCTGCTAGTGCACACAGCCCCAACCTGGTGCCTTCCAGCACCTCTGCCTGCAGCCTGTTGCTCCGTCTTTGGGCCACTGGTGCTGGAAGAGCTGCAGATTCATGCATTTTTATGAACTTCTAAGGCACTCTGACTTGCAGTGAATGCCAGCACTCACAGTACTTGCTTAAAAATTGCTCCACACCGCCCACTTGGACTTTCACTCCATTTCTGATGTTAATTTTCTTACGACTTTTTTTCGCCTTGATGCATGCAATGACCATATCTCACTTGTTTTCTGTTCACAGAGCGGTTTACAGAACTACTGCTTCCTCGTGTTTGCTGCCATCTGCTTTGCAGGAGCAACCTACCTGTTTTTTGTCCTGCCTGAAACTAAGAACAAGACATTGAGTGAGATCAGCCATGCATTTGCCAAAAGAAATAAAGTCTCCTTGGAAATGCAAGAAATGAACCATTACCCAGAAGAGAGGAAATCAAGTGCTGAGCAAGAATCAAACTTCACTTCTTCAGTGGACAATGGGGAAACAAAACATGCAATTGTGTAAAACAGGGACGTTCTTTTGGGGTGGCTGGAGGGAAAATATGTTCTTTTCATTGAGTATGTTTATAGTAATTGTATTTTTAATGTGACAACATGAACTACTTCCTCCTCAAATATGTTTTAAAGTGAGTACAGGTGAACTCGTTAGCAGCTAGGGAGATGTAGGGGAACTTGGAGGCAGAGTAGCAGCAGCTGTTTAAATAAGAGCCAGAGTTTTCTTGGACACCTGCGAAGTAGTGGGGTGGAGGAATGTAGACCTGGGGAATGTAGCATACTGGCAGTGGGGAGCAGTAGTTGGCCAGGCACTGCTGTGTGTAGATGGTGAGGTGTGTGTGCACCTGGAAGGAGATGAATGGGAAGGAGTGCCAGTAAGGATAGGGTTGCTAGGAATCAACATGAGCCAACCTGAAATGGGACCAGCTTTCCTTGCTCTCAGTTGGTAAGCCTACACATGAGAAGTGAGGAAAAAGAAGACAGGTGATGCTCCTCCAACCTTCCAGTCCTTCTCCAGCTATTTTGGCTTTTCTCTGCTTCTTATGAAGACCTCCCAGCTATTCGTGACTGGGAAGCTACAGGGCCTGATGGGTTTCTTTATCTGATCTGCAAATCATGATCTATGATTTTCTTATAGTTTCTGAGTTTGCTTGGCACTGCATTTCTGTGAGATACATATACATATTTTTATAAGACTGTTTCTAGAATTTTTAGTATGAAAGGAAATCTAACCCTCATATTGAAGGGAAGGAACTTTGATAGTAGTTGTAGGGTGTAGCATTGAAAAGAAAACCAAATACCAAGTTTCCCAAGGGTGTTTTTTGTTGTTAATTTTTCTTTGGGTTTGGCTTTTTTTTAATTATTCTCTGTGTAAAATGATAACCAATTCCTCTCTTTCAAGTTCCTTTTAAAACAAGTCTTAGGAGCCAAAATTTCTCTAAGACCCAATAAACACCATTTCTTAACACTCAAATTTCCAAAGGAACTTGGAAATCTATTTCTTATTTAGACATTAATTTGGGCTCAATTCTTAAGCTCTGGACCTTCTCCATGTTTATATGCTTCTAAGCTACTTAATGCTCTCAAAACTGGACTTAAGATCTGCGTAATGTCATGATAGCAAGACTCAGCAGGTTGCCAAGTGGTAGGTGATCCATTGCCTTTCATTAGGTTATTTTTAACAAACTCTTATTTCCAGTTTGTAATTATGATAATGGTTTTTCTTTTCTCTTTAAGTAACTTGGATGCTAAGGGTGTAAATAAGCAATTGAATAGCTGTTGTTTCATATGAAAAGTCAGTAAGTCTTAGTGCTGTTCTCAGTGAGGAGTATGGCACAAGAAGCAAGCGCAGCATTTAGGTAGAGCCAGCTGCTTCCGTAAGTTACATTTACTAATGTCCAAATTCATAAATTTGGGATTAAATATATATATATATATACCCATATATATCCAAAATATAAATGTATATGACTACACATATATTCATATATAGAGCAAGAAATAAATGGATAATTGCTTTCTAGTATTTATTCTGTTCAGACTTCCCTGACTACTAAGCTGCTTATTGTTTTGTTTCATACTGTAAATTAAGATCAAAGATCCTGATAGCTATTACTTCTAAATGATGTATAGGGTATACTGTGATTTATTTATTTGTGATATATTTGCTGCACACACCATAAGCATAGATTACCTAATATAGGGCAATTTCACCGTTGGGTAACAAAAGAAAATTGTTCTAAGACTTTATGCCTGGATTTATCCTATTTTATCGGGCTAGAGATTCAGCAAAAAGTCAGACAGGAAAAAAAAGATACATGTAAGGAAGAGAGTTAAGAATGAAGATTCAGATTTATGATACTGGTGCTACTTTTAAGAAACTGAGTGTATCAGGGCTATACCAACTGATCATGAGATACAGAAGCTAATCAAATACTATGGAGAAAAATGAAGAAAGGTGTCTTCAATAACCCCTTCTAAAGTTGTATACCTAAGAAATGGATATGTCTTCTTTTGGTGGCTCTTGTTGCCTACCCACGTGTTACGTGAGGCTTTCTAAGTGGTGGCCAGGTAAAAAATGAATGCTATCCCTACAGACCATTTCCAGAAGAAATTCTTCTACTGCCTGTAGAGCAAGACTGGCAAGTTCAGACCCTCTCATTCAGGTTGAAAATTATTTTGCAATTAGGGCTACTGACATGAAATGATGTGATCTTACTGAGATGAGGTGGCTGGACTAGAATCCATTATTATTGTCAAAATTAGAAAAATGTGGCACTCAGTGCTATTCATTGATATGCATTACAGCAACATTATCAACAAATAATGCCTACCAGATAACTTCAATAAAATATCATGTTGGCCTTAATAGAGCAGTTCAGTTGGGCTTCTGCAACAGGATAAAATTATCTTACTATTGTTTAAAGTTGCACCTGGAGCCCAGCTATAAACATGTTGACCAAAGGATGTTCAATAGCATTTCATATCGCAGCTCGGGGGATTGTGCATTATTAACAGTAGGGGTTGTGTCCCCCTTGCCTCTCTCTTGCCATAGCCCAGATAGGCACACTCCATATGCACACTTTCTGCAGACGGTGACTGCAGACAAGGACAGCGGTTGCCTCTCCTCTGCCCTTTGCTCCAGCCCATGGCTCAGTTGCAAATCATTCCATCCTCCTGATGTACTCTGGTGCAGGTGCTCTGCTTGCTGGCTAAGGAAGTGGCTGCTGTCTCCTCTGCCTGGGGCTGTGGAAGTTTCTGAGGAAGCTGCAGATGTGTGGGTACTGTGTAACTTCTCATCTCTCACCCTGAAGAGAGTTTTGTGTTGCTAAATTTGTTTGGTAATTATTTTTTTTTTTAATTTCCAATGTTATGCTGCTATAGCTTCTCCAGCAACAAGAGGACAACATAGAAAATATCACCAACGTTGTTTGGTTTTCTGGTTGAATGTGTCATGTCTGTGGCCATGTGTTTGTCAGTGGTGCTACGTGGAGCCAGGTTCAGTTTTCCAGTTTCAGGGAGATACCATTACTTGGTTTTTCTTTGTACAAGCATTGCGGGTGGGTTGTGTGTGCTTGATCAGCCATGTCCACGCACAAAGACTGCAAAATAAATCTTTGGAATTAAATACATGATGGAAGTTTTCTTCTGACTAAATCTGAATCTCCTCAGCTGTCCATGTTCAGCTCTCTGGACGTTCTGTATGTCCCAGTACAGGGCTGTTTGTCCCTTCATATGAATGACTCAACTCAATTTGGACTCTGCCTTTGGCTAGTTGGAAGTTATGGGGAAGAAATATCAGCCCTGAAACTGCATATTTGATGGAGTATTACTTATATTCTGCTTCCCAAGACAGATTCCACACTTAATTCTTTCATATTTTCATTTGTGTAGGGAACCTGCTTTGGCAGGGGGTTGGACTCGATGATCTCTGGAGATCCCTTCCAACCCCTAGAATTCTGTGATTCTGTGATATGTTTATATTATTAGGCTGTGGAAATAAAAATAGAGGTATCAGTAAGGGGTATTAAAACCGGCTACTGGTAGAAATAAAGGTGTGTAAGAATTATTGAATCCAGGGGGCCTTTTTTGCAGAAAGCTGCAATTTGCTATCAGTGATTTTGATTTCCTAAATTTCTTTTTGATGTGGAATTCAGCCAAATGACTTTCTGGTACAGAGATATGCAAAACTTGAGATTTCAAATATGCATAAAACTTGAATTTCATACTTTGGGTTCTGAAGCCAATTTTCACTCCACAAGGATCTGCTCTCTAGAGGGGGAAGATGTATTTCAGCCATATGGGAGAATTTCCATCTTCAGGCTCAAATGCAAAAAAAAAAAACCAACACCAAAACAACAGAAATTTTCTTTCTTCCTTTTGACTATTTTTATGTGCTCTTCCTTACAGAGATCACCATGCCAACTATTACAGCTCCCATTGCCTCACACAACAGGAAGAACAAATCAGAGTAAAGCATGATTAGGAGACACCTGCCGTGTTTTTCTTTCAGCCCAAGTTCAAAAAACCATCTGAAATACAGTCTAAAAATCTGAACTATATAGACCCAAATGGTGAAGCAAGTTTGTAAATTCCAAGATTCCAGCTGTTACGTTAACTGAGCTCTTAGTTCCAATCTGGGCCCATACTTAGCCCTCTCTGGAAGTGATGTTATTACAGAGTGAACCCTGTGAAGAGGTGAATGTCATGGCAAAAGCTTGGTGCTTGGGTTCGTAATTGAGTTATCACAGCTCAGTAAGCAATCAAGCATAACCTGAGTCACTACAACCGTCTTCCTTGGTAAGCTAAGCTGCATTAACGTCACTTTTGCTGTGACCTAAGAGAAACACAGGGCTCAGAGGATAGTCAGGGCTCCTTTACATGTTTCTGCTACAATTCTGCTAAATTTCCTCCTACTCCAGTTAGTACAACAAAGCAATGCATGAGGTTATGGGAATTTGTGATTATCTTAAGATAATTCCAAAAAGTAAAAAGCAGAATATAACCCTGCTTGGCCCTCTGAAATACAACCTGTTAAGAGCATGAACAAGAATGAATTTGTCTGCTGTTTGTAAGCTGCCATTTGTAAGACATCATGATAAGATCTAAACTACAAAAGGGAAGATTTAGATTAGATGTTAGGATGACATCCTTTACTCATGAGGCACTGGCACAGGCTGCACAGAGAAGCTGTGGGTGCCCCATCCCAGTAGGCACTCAAGGCCAGGTTGGATGGAGCCCTGGGCAGCCTGAGCTGGTGGGGGCAGCCCTGCACATGGCAGGAGGTTGGTACTGGTTGAGCAGTACAACCCCAAATTTCATATGGATTCATCTCTTTGAACTAAACTTTACTTTCTTTTTATATGCATATGCGTGCAGAGAGAGGTTGGTTTATGTTATTCCATCATAAAAGACTGGCTGTTTTAATTCTCATATTAAAAAAAAAATAGGCCATTTGGATATTATTTTTCAGAGGAAGAATGGAGTTTTTTCTTAATTTTGTGGAACTATCTCTCTTAAACAAATGTGAGGTAAATACCCGTATAAGAAGTTATATTTACTTTAAAACAACACCACAATAAACCAAGGTTAGACAATTTATGTTCTGTCATTGACTTGCTAAAGCCTTATCATCCAAGCTAAAAATCTCTATGAGCTGTGATAGACCAATCATTTGCGTAACTAACAGTGAAGTTAGTTAGTTCAAGACTTCTCCTGAGCAGTGATGCTCAAATGACTGCTAATATACAGTAAGAGAACCAGTTTCCTTTTGTCAAATATGCTTAAAAATGAGCACACAAATATAAAAGTTATCCTTAATAGCAGCATTTGAGCTTTCTTTCAAGGCATCAAAAGTACTCTTAAGACTCTTTTTATCCAACTAGAGAACAGGTTTGTATTTAAGTCCTTCAGGCAGCAGGATGTATTTACATATGTTTAGCTTGGGTTAAGCCAAATAAAGTCTTCCAGCATGTAGTATAAAACATGCTGGAAGGAGTTTCAGGTATCACTCTGACTTGACAGTGAAACCACTGTTCAGTTTGCACCAGTAATCAAAAGAAAAAAAGGGACAAAGGAATGGCAATAGGAAACATGAGAAAAACGTAATATTACATGTCTGCTCTCCCCTATTTTAAAAAAGGCATAGAAGCATTTAGGTGATTAGGGTTGGTTTTTTTTTTTATGTTTTAGGAAGGTTAAGGAAAGTTAAATAGGTTAACAGGATGAAATATGGCTGAGGAAAAAAGAATACAAGACAGATGGCTTGTTTTTACAGTGAATGGCTCAGGAACGCGCAATTAAAAATAAATATAAAACTAATAGAAAAAAATTTAAATGCATAACTAAAATTTTAGAATTCATTGGAACAAACTAGAATTAATCAACGTTATTAGGATTAGATATTTAAATTTATGGTAACATTCCAATTGAAATTAGGCAAGAGAAAAAAGAAAAGCTACAACTAACAAGAGATAAGAAATTTCTCTAAGGAGCTCAGTAGTTTGTAATTGGCTGTTACATCCATCTTTCACCTTCTTTTGAGATGTGTACATAATTTGTGGAGGTAAGATGATATTCTATGTGGATCATTGTTCAGTCACACTGTACTAAATCTGCAGTGAGAACTATGAGCTGACCCAGAATCCAATAGAACTGGGGAAATCCCAACACTAATAGGAAAAAAATATCAGACATTCAGTTTTATATGTTTCCAGAAAAATACCAAAGCCCCTAAATTTTCTCCATACAAAGGAACTTTTCAAATGCAAATTGGAACATTGTGCTTAGTGATAAGCATTGGAAAACTGTGTACTGAAGTTTCTTTCTTTGCTCTTTCTAAGAGATCCTTCAGTCAATTTTGCAAAGATATTACAAAGGTACAAGACTTTTTTGGTTATTCACATTGGCTGATAAATATTAGAAATAGAAATGAGTATTAGTAAGAAAGAAAAAGATGGAACAATACAGCAATAGTAGGAGGCGGATCATTATGTCTGGCAAGTTTCTGTATTTTCTGTGACAGCTGGTATGGATCACTTAAAATTTAAAAAGCCTATTAGTTTTTTTTTGTTATTTTTTTAATATTCTCAAATTGTATTTGTAGATGGGGTCAGCCTTGCGGTACAAGCTAATGGGTTGAAGAAACGGAATCCAAATCAAGTGGGTTGTGTCAGCACACAGGATGTAGGAGGTGATGAAGAGAAGATCACTCTGGAATGCAAAATTGTTCAAAGTTTTTTTGACAACTTTTTTTTTCAAATTGAGAAGTGACAGAAAATTGTAACACATCATACATGCTTTCACTGTCATTACACTACTTGGAACGACTTTAAAAACGTAATTTGAAGGCAAAGACATTTCTTTTGTCTTTCAAATGAAAGATCATAAAATCAGAATCATAGAACATCCTGAGTGGGAAGAGTCCCACAAGGATCACCAAGTCCAACTCCTGGCTCCATGCAGCACCACCAAAAACCGAAACCCTGTGTCTGAGAGCAGTGTCCAAATGCTCCTCAAACTCCAGCACCTCAGGACCATGCCTACTGCCCTGGGCAGCCCCTTCCATGCCCACTGCTGACTGGCGCAGACCCTTTCCCTAACCCCCAGCTGCTCCTCCCTGGCGCAGCTCCATGCCGTTCCCTCAGGTCTTGTCGCTGTCGCACAGAGCAGAGCTCAGCGCTGCCCATGTGAGGGCATGGGCCAGTGATGCTCCATGTGAGGATCTGAAGCTGCCAAGATGCCTCCCCTCAGCTGCTCTGCTCTGAGCTGAACAAACTCAGCTGTTGCTCATACTTCTTGTGCTCTAGACCTTTTACCATCTTTGTAGCCCTCCTCTGAAGGCTCTGCAATAATTTTATGTCCTTCTTTACTGCACACAGTAGCTGGTGACAATACTTTCTTCTGTATCTCGTACTAGATTATAGATTCCTTTTGACAGTGACTTTTGATCAATTACATATCATGAATAGTGCCATCAGACCAATTTTTTCCTAGCACTACATTTAAAATGGGATGTCTTCTAGGTTGCCTCTGCTTCGTAATCAAAACCAAAATGAAAAAATAGCGAAGTATAAAACCAATGCAGCTCTGGATCTGCATGCTATGCATCCTAGAGAGGTTTACCGTTAAATACTTGATATGGAATCTACAGGGATAAACTGTAGACATTTTACTGAGTAAAGCTAATGGGCATTTTACCTTTGTTTCCATTGCAGATTGGGATTTCACTCAAAAACTTTTTGCAGCACTGAAAATATGCTCACAGTGGTATAAGAGTAATTGATTACCAACATGAATGAAAGTCAAAACATGAAAATGTTGCAGGACTGGCTCCTTGTCCAGTCAAGAGTAGATTGCACAGATGTTGCCAATCTTGCTGCCCAGTTAATAGAATACTACTGCTTCTTAGGAAGAATGAAATTTAAAAGAACTCTACAATTTGCTTTGTGAACTGCTCTGTAGAAATTAGTACAATGAAGAGATTTGCCCTAGGCATCTGTAATATTTGTCTGACCTACATACACAGCTCAAATAATGTGCCCTCCTTACAAAGGGTAAAGTCAGGCTGAGTTTCCACATACTGTCACTGCCAACAGCAGAATTCCTGTTTAATTTAGCATTTGCTTAAAGA